TGTCCAATTAATTTCTTTCTATTTTTGGTAGAGACAGGGTCTCGCTCTTGCTCAGGCTGGTGTCGAACTCCTGAGCTTCAACGATCCACCCGCCTCGGCCTCCCAGAGTGCTAAGATTACAGGTGTGAGCCACCGCGCCCAGTCTAACATACTGTTTTAAGACAGTATAAACAATACTGTTTAAACAATACTGTTTCTATAGCTCTTGAACCTATTCCTAAAGGTTCCTAAAGGCCTCCTACATCAAATCCAGACCTCATTTTCATGGCTTTAGGTGACAGATCCCCCACTTATCCTAATTCAACTTCTTACTCTTCTCTATCTTCCAGGCCAATAAAAATCTTAGCGCTATAATGTGCCTTATATAGGAATCACCAAATGTAGTTCTTTCATTTTAGGAGTGAAGCAAGCACAGCTCAAAGAAGTTGTGATGCCCAAGGTCACAGATACATAGTAGCAGCATATCCAGAACTAACTATCCAGATGGGCCAAGTGTTACCTCCTTACTACATTATCCGGTGACATCTCCACTTGAACCATGCACCTCTACTCCCCATCCCCTCAACACAAGTTACTCATTTCTGCCTTCAGGCTTTTGCTTTTGGTGACACCCTCCAACTATCCAAATCCCACTCATACTTTACGGCTCAGTTTGAGGCCTACAGGCTCCCTCCACGACATTGCCTACTACCCAGGCTCACCACACCTCTTTTTTCCACCTCTACTGCACTTAGAGTCAGCATTTTCCATTCGGCACCTAACTGTCCTGTAAGTATTCAATTCAACTAAAGCCCTACCAGCTACAGAGACAGCCCCTTAACAGCTGGGACAGGCTTTCTACTCTGTAGTCTCAACAGCACTTGGGGGCCCATGGGAAACATTTAATATATACAAATAAATGACAATAAGGAAGCAAGAGGAATGAGCAGAGAGGAACTATCTGTCTAGACTTGAAAGGCATTCATACTATCAGGCATCTCTAATATTAATCAGTTATAATCTTGTTTCTAGCCAATTACTGTTTAAATCTAATTCACAATCAAAATGGTAAAACATACTTACTGTCATGAAATACTGTCAGAACCGTGTTGTCAGTGGTGCTCAAGAACACCTGTCTAAAAAGGTGTCCAATTTTTGCTCTATTTCAACCTAAAAGATAAACATCTATTAGCAGTAAATATGTACAGCCTATAGGCTTTCTTTCTAGTAAAATTAAAGGGGGCATGTATAACTCTGTCTACTAATCTTAATCAATGGATGCATGGTATAAAATGATATAAAAAGCAGGCACCCAACAAAGGTTTATTGAATTGGAAGATTTAATTTGGGCAACTTACAAAAAAAGTTAATTCCATGGAGGGAGGGAGCAATTGCTTTTCCAACATAACCCTGAATTTAGTCATGTGAACATGACTAAAATATTCCTCACAATACACCAAATCCAAATAGGGGCCAAAGAATGTAATATGCGAGAGACTGAAAATTACACATCTAAATTACTTAAAGAATTAACACACCACTTATCAATTGCTTTGGCAATGCTTTTCTTACTGTTTCAGAATGAGATTTAGGCACTCTATAACTCAAAAAGGGGAAATATTTATCTCAGAATAGAATGCTTTTAAATTAAGTATCTCAGATTATACTGGAAAGAAGATAGAGTCTGCCCAGAAAACATAAAAAAAAAAAAAAAAAAAACCAACACAATCAAGACCCTTATTTTTAATTTTGAAGCACCACCATTTTGGACTAAAATCACATCTGAATAGCACTTCAGTCTCACTGTAAGGCATAAATAGCTGAATAAATTAGTATCAATTGCAATGTTACAACCTTCATTTCTCATTTGCTCTTTTCCTTTTTTCAAATGAAACAATTAAATGGGGCTTGAGGGGGAAAGGACAAAACAAAAACATATCCTTTCAGTGTTAAATTTTAAAGGGAGAAGAAATACTGATATGCATTCAAGCATGAAATCCAGTAAGTAGCAGAAAAAATTATAGCCACTGAATTCAATTTTTAAAATGCTATTAAAAAGGTCCGGGCAGCAAAGACTGCTTGACATCTGCTATAATATTAAAAGTAATTTCTAATTTCTTTTAAAATAGTGTCCTCTAACTCCAAAATTGCCCAGCAAAGTCCTTCCTTACAGCTAGAAATGTTATTTTTGTTAGGGTGTCTTTAGGGAAAAAAAGCCCTCAGTACACTTAAAATATAGAAGCTATATATATTTATGTATTTCGCTTGGAAAGGGGTGCGGGGGGATCACACCACACCACATTCGGTCACCCAAATAGTTGATTCAGTATATATTTAGATTCAGTACATTAAAGAAAAACACTATCACCTCATATGGTATATATTTTCTTAAGGGCAGGTTATGATATATGTAAAAGCTCAAGGGAATGCATACATCTGTTTAATGTTTGAAGAAATGCAAATTTGTATCCAAGAAAAGCAGTAGTCCCTTCCTCCACCCTCCATTCTTTGGCATCAACAACCAGAGTTTTGCATCAATATACAGCAATTCTTAATTTAAGCTACAAGAGCAGTGCAGGGAAGGAATAATTGCCTTTTAAGGAATTTTGGTTAAACTTTCAATACTTTACAAATAAAATCCCTATTTGTTAATGCCACTGACATTGATCAGTGCACCTCACGACTTTATGTTGCTCATTAGTTTCCATACTAAGAGAGCCGAAACCACCCCAGTGATTTGTGGCACGAACCACGGAACTATGGAGTCCATGCGGGTTAGTGGGATGCCATTTTTTTTAAAAGGTGGCATGCCACCTAACCTTGTTTAAATTACCTTGTTAGAGTACTCTGGGCGAGATTACGATTTGTGGGTGCTCTATAATTCTTTGTTCTCGGAGACTACCGTTCCTAAGGCCCCGCATATCCTCCCGCCTCCCACCACCGATGATTAAAACCTCAGTCCAATCCGAAAGGCTTCCTTCCCACACCTTCGGGGCAAGTCCAGGGACCGCAAGCCGCCAGATGGCTGCATTCTTTACGTGTAAACCAGGCTGCGGGGAAACCAAAGCCATTCCTTCCTCCCCGGGACCTCGCTTCCTCCCCACTCAGGTGTCCGGGGTGGCTCCGGCCCCACGGCCGTGTCCGGCCGACCTGTCAGTCCCCCGAGTGCGGAGCGGACGCCCCTGGCGCGCATCCCCCGACTCGCCGGGCCGACCTCGGGCCCCGAGCCCAACGCCCGCCTCCCGCCCGGGGTGCGCGGGCAGACAAAGCGGCCGGGCCCGGCCACGGCCCCGCGGGAGGGGGGCACCCCCCTGGGGACCCGCGCGGTGGCTAAGGCCGAGGGGGCACAGCCGGGGCCGGGGGCAAAGGCCCGGCCCGCGTTCCCCGGCCGGGTCCCCGCACAAAATGGAGCCGGCCCCGGGTGCCGCCGAGAGGGGGGCTCCGACGGTGCCCCGCAGCCCCTCCTCGGCCGCGGGCCCGGAGCTCAACGGCGGCGAGCGGGAGGCGGCCTGGCCCGCGTCCCACCGCTCCTCGGCCCGGCGCACAAAGAGCCGCGCCGCGGCCCCGCGCCCGCTGCCCGGCCCGGCCCGCAGCAGGAGCGGCCTCGCGGGCGCTGGCCGCAGCCCCGGCCCGGGCGAGAGGGCGGGCGAGCGGGAGGGAGGCGAGTGCCCCCGGCCGCGGCGGCGTTGGCGGCGGGGACGGCGCCGGGAGGAGACGGACATTTCATTCGAGCTAAAGTGGAGTCGGTTTAGGAGCGATCATTGGCCGAAGCGAGACACAAACCTCCAATGCAGCCCTGGTTGGCTCCCGTCTCCAATCGGCTGTTTGGTTGGACAGAAAATGGCTGCGAAGGAACCAGTCCCAGCGCGGAGCTCCGCTTCCAGGACTCGGCCTCCCCTCCCTCCGCCGCGGGCCGCTTCCCTCAGCGCGACACCCTCCCTCCGCGCCGCCCGCGCGCCCGCCCGGCCCCGCCCCCGGACGCGGCCCCGCCCCCGGCCCCGCCCCGTGCGCCGAGCGGGCGGCTGAGCCGAGCCGGGCACCGCGGGGTCGGTGGCGGGTAACCTGCACGGGCGGTCGGGCTCCCGGCTCTGTAGGGGCTTCTAGGGACCTGGGCCCGGCACGCTCTCAAGGTCCACACGGGCCTTCTTCTTAAGGTCCCACGGCGTTTACGCGGGCCTGTGCGAAGCGTGTGATTTCTCAGGCCTCCCTCTGTTTTGAATCCCCGCCCCCCCACGTGGAATTGTCTCACCCGCCTGAGTTCAGCCTGCCCGCGCCTAGATTTTTCAGAAGGGGAAACCAAGGGCAGAAGCTGCCGCTTACGGCGACACCCGAACCACCACGAGGGTCTGAACGGCGGATACCTCCTGGAATGTCTTCGGCACGTCGTGATTTCCTTTTGTCCCTGTTAACGTTGCCAGATGCACAGCGCTCCCTCTCACTTGGTCACCGAGCTCGGGTGTTAGTTTTTCAGATTTCATGTGAAGCTACATTACCTTTCCTCTTCAGGTTTAACAGGTTGCTCAGTCTAGCTAGCCTTCATTCACCCTAAACTTCTTAAGTTGCTGCATTTTCTACCCACCTCCGCCCCCACTGTAGTGGCTTTTCCCAACCAGATGACATTTTGGCTGCAAGAATCCATGGCCCGTTCTTGCCTCTGTGTAGCCAGGCTCTTTCGCTGTCTTTCCCTGACTGCAGGCCAGGTCGAACTTCCCTGGGCTGCGACCATCCCAGATGGGGGGTGACCCAAACACCTCTCACTGCAGGGGACAGTAGGATTAGCGTAGCCCGGGCTGGGAATCGCATTCCCTCTGCTTCCACGAAACAAGTGGCCTGGCGCCACATTAAACTTTCCAGCTTGGGTCATTGAAAAATAGGGAGAGGTGTTTTATTGACAGAGCTCCTACTGTTTCTCAGCATGTCTAAACATTTCCGGGACAAGTAAGGAAGCAAGGACAAATGAAAGCCCCCAAATCGTGACAAGATGAGTAAGTATTAATAGCAGTGGCACTGTAGAATCAGACAAGCTTATCTGAATTCCAGCTCACCTTCTTACTGGCTTGTGACTTTGGCCAAATTTCTATACATCTCCATGATTTCCCCACCTTTATAATGGGGGTTAATACTAGCCACTTCTCAGGGTCGTTTGGAATTAACATACACATAGAAAGCCCTGAAAAAAAGTTGACTTATCCTAAGATCTTTTTATGACATGAATTTCAATCTCCATCACACTTTTGAGAACTGTTATTTGCTAAAAAGGAGTAAAATGGCCTGAGTTGAATTCCTCGCTTTCTCTATGTTTAGGACTGAAATGATGTGTTCAAAGGTGGGAAATATAAAAACAGAAGTAATAGAATGGGGAGATCGGACTTAGGGGGGCAAGGGGGGGCAAGGGCAACATACGTAACCTAAACATCTGTACCCCCATAATATGCTGAAATAAAAAAAAAAAAAAGAATGGGGGAAGTATGACTATCCACACACTGGATGGTGATCCAAAAGATGCAAAGATGATTACTTTCTCTGAGTTAATATTATATCAGTTGAGCACCGTAGATCTAATCTGCATGCATAATCCAAATTCAACAAAAAGGTAGTTTAGCTCATACTGTTTACCAGGCACTCTGCTAGGAGCCTCAGGGCTACAAAGGTGAATAAAGCACTCACTCCCTTACCCTCGAGAGAGAGGGCCCAGCCCACACCGCCTCTGCAGTTGAGACCAGGTCATCCTGTCTCAACAAGCTGTGGTCTCTGTGCCTTCTAGATGGATATTCAGGAAGCCCCCAATCAATGTTCACCATTTTTCATGATCACATGGTGAAAGAGAGAGGCCAGGATCGCCATTTAGTCTTGGAAAAAACACTGCAGCTAACCTAGTCTTTGCATTCCAGGTCAGAGGACAGGTGATTGTGTGTCTTTATTCCGACTCCGTACACCACAGCTGCCCCTGAGTTTGCATCGCCGTTTATATTGGCGTCCTAATTCAGCAAACAATGAAACAGAATCCCTGGCACAATGAAGCCTTCATGGTTGGATTTTACTTTACTGCTTCAATGAGAACCCATAAAAATTCCCACGAGGACAGTGTCTATTATAGTATGGTCCCCATTTCCACCTTCCTGATTCTACCCTTGCCCCTCTCTTCTCAATTCAGTCTCTGCACCAAGGCCTGGAAGGATCTGGCTTCTGCTTCCTTCTTCCACCCTGGCTTGTGGCTCTCACCGCCCGCCACCTCACCACCTTCTAGACCCTCTGGCCTGTGCACTGCTCCCCACACACACGCCAGACTCTCGCCTTAAGATCTTCGTTGGCTCCTTTCAGCTTTGCAATCTTGCCTTTTCAAAGGATCTCCCTGACGCTCCTTCCAAAGCAGCCCCACCCAGCTACTCTCTATACTCTCTATCATGCCATCCAGCTGTCATTTCTCTGCAAAAGTAAATAGTATTATGCTTACTCCAATGCACTTGGCCTAATTGGATTATCTTATTTCCTTGCTGTCCATAAATACATATATCCAAAACAGGAACACTTCTCATCCCCCCACTATTACCACCATGGCTCAAGTCACATCTCCTCTCATCAGGATGACTGCAGTGCCTTGTCTGCCTGCTGTCCCTCAGACCTGACCACGGCAGCCAGGATTTCAGATCCCGTGAAAATATAAGTCAGATCCTGTCACTCCTCTGTTCAAAACTCTAAAAACTCCCCATTTCCCTCAAAGGAAAAGACAAAGACTCTACGTGGCCTTGCCAGGTGGACTGTGGCAAGTTCCTTCGTTCCAAGTTGAACAAAAGAAAAAACTGGTTGTTCTTTGGTCATAGTGACAAGTAACCACCAGAATCTGTTTCAATAATCAGTGACAATCTTGCAATTAGTGACTTGCTTCTGAAAATTAGTCAATCGGCAACAGCCACACTCCACTAATCCTGTTTCCACAGCTAAATGTCAGCTCATCTCTGAAAAGTCCAGCTTCTAAGAGTTCGCCAACCTCTGAACCCTGTGCTTCCCAAAACACTGTAGAAGATCCACAGATTTGTTTGTTCAGAGATACTCTGTCTTACAAGTACAGCTGTGCTCTGCTTAGCAAGAAATATATTCAGCAGTTAATTGTTTGTTTGCGATGTGAATGGTGGCCCCTTCATTGGACAAGGCCCTATGGGATCTATGATCTATGCCCTTTCCACTCCCCCTCTAACCTCATGTCCTCCTCCTTTCTCCTTTGCCCACTCCACTCCTTGCTGTCCTTACTTCTGCCAGGAATGCTCCTGCTTCAGGGCCTTTGCACTGGCTATTCCATGTCTGGTACATTCTCCCCTCAGATATCCACATAGGTTATTCCCTCACCTCCTTCCATACAATGAAGCCAGCCGTGATCGTTTAACTAAAAATTGCAATTCCAACTCCATACCCCCACTCTCCTATCATCCTCTAACAGTGCGGTCCCCAAGCCCCAGACTGTGGACCAGTACTGGTCCGTGGCCTGTTAGGGACCTAGCCACAGAGTTCCCCTCATCCCGCTTCCTGCTGTACTGGTCCATGGAAAAATTGTCTTCCATGAAACTTAGGAACTGAGGGGCTGCACTTCAGGAGAGCAAGCAAAGCTTCATTTGTATTTACAGCTGCTCCCCATAGCTCACATCATGCCTGAGCTCCATCTCTCCCCAATCCCTACCCCATCCGTGGAAAAATTATCTTCCATGAAACTGATCCCTGGTGCCAAAAAGGTTGGGGACCTCCGCTGTAACATACTGTATAGTTATTTATTATGTTTATGGTTTATTGTCTCTCTCTTCGGACTAAAACGTAAGATCTATGAGGACAAGGAGTTTGCTTGTTTTGTTCACTGATGCGTCCCAAGCATCTAAAATAGTGTTCAGCATATAATAGGTACTTTATAAATATTTGTCAAATGAATGGACTTTGAATGTTTCATCTTTTTAGAATATAAACTCCTTTAGTACAGTGACTTTGTGTTTACCACTGTATTCTCAGAGCCTGAAATGGTGCCTGGCACATAGTAGGAGCTCCATGGTATGTACTGAATGAATGCATGAGCAGATATTGGATAAAACTATCTTATTTTAGAGATGGGGTCTCGCTCTGCCACCCAGGCTGGAGTGCAGTGGTACAATCAAAGCTCACTACAGCCTTGAATTCCTGGGCTCAAGCGATCCTCTTGCCTCAGCCTCCCAAGTAGCTGGATCTATGGGCATGTATCACCACGCCCAGCTAATTCTTTTTTTGTTGTTGATGTTGTTTTGCCCAGCTAACTCCTTCTTTTTTTTTTTTTCATTTTTGTAGAGATGAGGGTCTCAC